GCTACATGGATTAGCTAAACATTTTTTAAAATTTAGTGCTTTAATTGGTTCACCAACAAACTGGGAACAATAATTTCAATACTTAAGGAAAAATGTTACTATCTCTATATATAAAGAGTTCTCAGAAAACAATAAAAGACAAGCAACTGTAGAAAAATTGGCAGATAACAATATGTAATTTTCAAAAAATAAGGAAATGTCAATAACCAAAGGAGTATAAAGGAAACCTGAACATTATTGTTTATAATTGAATACAAATTTAAACAATAATTATATACATCTGTGTAGTGTCTGATTGATAAAGCTCAAAAAGGTCTAGATACAAGGTCAATTGTAGCACTGGAAGAGTTTTAAGTAGATACTGTTACTCACTGATGGTTGAAATAATAATAAAGCAACCCTAAGAAAGGAGAAGAAAAATAAAGGCGTCATGTTACCTGATTTTGAACTATATTGTAAAACAGTGATAATTAAAACAATATAGTGTTGAAACAAAAATAGAAAAATGTATCAGTGGAACAAAATCAAAAGCCCAGAAATAAATCCACACATATTTAAGATAAAGGAACCACAGCCATATGATGGAGAAAGAAAAATCTCTTCAACAAATGTGTTGGGAAAACTGGATGGCCATATGTGAAAGAATAAAGCTGGATAACACTCTATCCCCAGACACAAAAATAAATTCAAACAGATTAAAGACTTGGATAATAGACATAAAACCATAAAATACATGGAAGAAAGCATAGGTGATACATTCCATGGCATCAATGACAGAGATGTCTTTGGGGACTCAACCCCTGTGACCAGGGAAATAAAAACAGTTGGGATTACAACAAATTTAAAAGTTTCTACACAGTGAAAGAAAATATTAGCAGATTAAAAATGTAGTCTTCACTAATGGGAGAATCATACATCCAACAAGCAGTTAATTTCCAGGGGAATCGAAGAACTTACCCAACTTAACAAAAAAACAAACAACCCATTTAAGAAATGGGCAGAAGACCCAAAGAGACGCTTTTTTCCAAAGAGTTTTCAAAGCATTAGTAAGGATGTAGAAAAAGAGGAACCTTTCTAAAGCAGTGGTATGTAAACTGGTACATCTTGGAAAGCAGTCTGGACCTTTCTTTAAACAACTGAAAATAGAAATAAAAAAAAAAATCAAAGCCAGACAGAATTAAATAGAAATGCCAAGTGAAGAGTGGAAAAAAAATTGAAGTCTATAGGCACATATACACAAAGAGCTTGAAATAATCCAGATAGTTAATTGTCACAGTGATTTTAGATCTAAGAATAGAATTTGGTGTTATATTTAGTGCTCTCACTAAATTTATTTCCTTTACAAAAAAAAAAAAAAAAGGGCCTCCCTGGTGGCACAAGAGATTAACATGCAACTTATGAGGCTGTCCGCAGCCACTGCAGCACAAGTTCGGTCCCCATAGCGCAGCAGACCTCTCCTGTCTTGCCCGCTGCTCCCCTCAGCAGTGTACTTCAGTCAGTCTGCCTGTTCGGTTCCCCACTCTGTCTCTGGTGAATCCTCTCACCCCCCACACCTCTGGCCTGTACCCCAGTTCCTGTGTGTATAAATAAATAAATCTTAAAGTTTATTAAAAAAAAAAAGAAGGGGAGAAGGGAGGAAAAAATGAAATAGCACAGCTGTAATTTAGCTCTTTAGCATACAGTATTAAGATAAAGCAATTTACAAATCTTGTCAACCACTTGTGTCCTCATAGGAAATACCACTGCTATCAAATTGTCAATTAGACCTCTCATAAAAATCTGCATTTAAAATAAGCTCTCCAGGTGATTAATAAGCATACTGAAGTCTGAGAAACACTATGATTTTCAATTCTTACTACATATTTGTCTTCAAAGATAATCGATATATGAAGGGAAAGTTCTTGAGTCGAGAGTAGGAGGTGAAGGTCATTAAGAAGTGGTGGCAGGATGCTAACTCCCTGCCCAGCACTCAGCTAAGAAATGTGTATGAATTTATTAATGGAATCCTCACAACAACCTTATGAAAGGGAGTCTAATATCATCCACACACACAGAAATTAAGGCTAAAAAAGATGAGAAGTCTTGACAAAGTTAATCCAGAGCTTAAACCAGACTTGAATTTTTGAGTCATTTTCTAGAACACACTTTCCCATATTACATCACTTCCTCCCTGCTTGCAGCTCATGCTAGAATGGACATAGGCACAAAAAACAAACAAATAAACAAAAGTCATCACTAACAATTATAAGCCCATGGAAATCCTAAGAAAAATTCCAACAGGATTTTATCAAACTCGACGAGTTATTTGTAAAATTGATACAAGCGAGAAAATGTATGAGAATCATTTTAAAATTTTTTTTGAAAATAAAAAACACATCTTTATACCACTAGATATAAAAACATACTGTAAAGCTTAAGCAGTTAGCACCTGGTAGTACTAACATAGCAGCCTGGAATAGACTATAAGTAGGAATTCATTTTACTACAAAATAGAATTTCGAGTTCACTGGAAAAAAGACCGATGATCAAAACAAACAAATGGTGTTGGGTCAACTGCCTAAAACTTTAGAAAAATATGTTACATTTTACTGCTTTCACCTTATTTAACAATCTGGTATTTTCAAATTAGATATAAAAATCAAGATAATGAAAGTATTGGAAGAAAATAGGATAATTTAACATTAAAAAATAATTTTAGGTGGAAAAACTTCCTAAGCTAGACAAAAGCACACAAACCATGAGCATGCAGAGTTGACTACACATTTAAGACTTCTATGCAACAAAAGATAGTCAAAATCAAAAGCAATATGAATGGGTAAGGAAAATGTGGCAGGAACATACCATGGAATAATATTCAGTCCTTAAAAGGAAGGAAATTCTGATACCTGCTACAGCATGAATAAGTGTTGAGTTCATTTTGCTAAATGAAATGAGTCTGTCAAAAATAGAGAAATACCATGATTCCTTCATTTATATGAGGTCCCTGGAATTGCCAGGGGCTAGAGAGAAGAGCGACAACAGGGAGTTAGTGTTTGAAGCACTCAGTTTCAATTTTGAAAGCTGAAGAGTTCTGGAGATGGAGCGTGTGGATGGTGGCACAGTGAACCGAATGTACTTAGCACCATTGACCTATGTCCTTAAAAATAGCGAAAATGGCAAATTTCATTTTGTGCATTCTACCATATTAAAAAAGTGGGGAATGAAAGAGCATTACACTAATATTTGCATCATCTGCAACAGCCAAAGGATTAAGATCCTGAATATTATGTGTAAAGCTTCTGCAATAAATAGGAATAAGAAAGAGCAACTCAATAGAAAAATGAGCAAAGGATGTGATAAGTAATTCATTGAAGAACACAATGACCCATTTAATATTTTAATATTCAGAGATTAAATCACAGAAATAACCAGCAAATTGCAAATTAAAAGGCCATATTGGGTTTCAGTCATTAACCAGCTGATGAAGGGACGGGTGAGAGAAAAAGATTGCCATGCACTGAGTTAAATTAATATTTAGGATGGGGGCAGTGATGCAGTGGAAAAGGCTGTGTACCTTTAGTGGAAAATGGACAAACCTTTATGCCAAGAACACCTCTCCTCGGATTCTATTCCACAGAACTACTCAGGTTAACATGTTGTGAATGTTGAACAATTTCAAACAACCCAAATATCTATCAATAAAGAAAAGGACTGATAAATTATTTTTCTATTTTAATATAACATGTAACCATTGCAAAAGGGGTATGTGTGGTTCTGGGAAGGCCTCTGACAGTGGAAAGGAAGCTGAAAAAAGAAGCATCTCTGTGGCCACAAGGAAGTCTTCTTGGATGTACAAACGGTTTTTCTTTATAAAGGCCATGATACTTTATTTTTTTCATGTTACATGCATTTTTAAAATCAAGGATTTTCCTTCCCCTGGGAAGGGAGGGCCAGTGCTGGCTGTTCCTGTGAGCAAGATGGCACACACTAAGATTTCCTTTCTCCATGCCAACACTGCCCAGCCCAGTTCCCACACGGAAAACACTCCATCCTCTTGTCAAATCACATTATCATCAATTCAATCTCTTTCCAAACCATACGCATTTTCCTGACCTGGTAACTTTTTCAGGGTCATAAGAAACATCAGAGATTCTGAAACACCAAGGGCACCCCTGTAAGTGATACCACCAAAGTGGCTTAAATCTGCTGGACACCTAAAGCCAGTCAAGGTGGCCTCTGATACAAAGCCCTGGGCACATGCGCTGGGAAACAGGAGGCTGCATTGGGACTAAGATGTAAGTCACAAGGAGGCTCATTACAGGTGAGAACCAGCCAGTCTGGCAATGCAATCTTAGGTAGTGAGCATCCCGCCACGGAGGCATTCTAACAGTTGGGGAGGTGCCAAGGCGGGCGTGCCTTGAAGATTCTGAAGAGATGGCTTAGGCTGGTGTCCTAGAACTTTGAAAAGCTTCAGGAATGACTCTGAGGCACAACTCAGTTTGGGAAACCCTGGCCACCATGACCTTGGGGGCCTTCAATCACAAGGGTCTCTTAGTGCATTTTAAAACACCTTGAAGGAGAGACCAGGTAAATCTGCAACCAGGTAGCATGTCCAGACCCACTCCAGAGTGTCCTAAAGCCCCAGGCACAGTACAGAGGCTGTCACTAGGTTACAACCCACCTGTGTGTCAGCGCCTCCCACTTCTGGGAGTAAACTGTGGGGGGAGGTCCGGGCTCTGAGAGGAGTGAATGTCCGGCGGGTGGGTTTGCGGGAGTTTGGGGACAGCAATGCGCTCCCAAGACAGGTGCTGGGACACGGGCACAGGGGGATCGAGAGGGAATTTTAACTCAGCAGACGTCCTGTCCTTCGACCACTTGAGAAAAAGGCGAGGGATGGTGAGGGTGGAAGCAGTGTGGGGGGCGCGGGGGTGGACCCCGCAGCGCGCCTTCTGGAAGGAATTCCCCTGGGCGTCATTCACCCGCGAGGCGGGCCGGAGGCTAGGACCCCTCAAAGCACCTACCTCTAACCCAGCCACCGCGGCAGGGGCGGCGCCCAGGAGGAGCGGGGGTGGTCCGGGGCGCCTCGGGCCAGGGGAGGCGGCGAAGTGGTGGGTTCCTCCCCGCGCCGAGCCCGGTCCGCCCGTCGGAACAGCGTCGGAGGGGGGCTGCCGGCGGCCGCGCGCGGGGGCGCGGGGCGCGGGGCGCGGGGCTGCTCGCGGGGGGCGCAGCGCCCGGTCGGGCCGAGTCCGGGGCGCGCGGGGTCCGGGGCGCAGACGCCGCTGTGGCCGGGCAGAGGCGGCCCGCGCCCAGGCTATGAATCAGCCGCGGGGCGAGCGCCCAGGGGCGGGAGTTACTGGAAAGCAGGGGGCGGGCAGAGGGCAGAGGACTTTTGCAATTTCCCGTCTGGAGGCGCACTCTTGGCCCTTCCGAGACCCGCGGGAATTGCTTTCGGTCTCCCGGGAAGCCGACGGGACCCTACCGGGGCTGGACGCGATTCCGCGGAAGGTGCGGCCCCCGGACCCGGCGGGCGGCGGGCGGACGAGTGGGAAGGGAAGTGGGAGCGGCCTGGGGTGGAAAAGTGGAAATCGGGAAAACTGCGCGGCCCGAGGTGTTGCGCCCCCCGCGCGCCGCGGTTCTTCTGCCTGGACCAGCCGCTCGGCGGGGCGCAGAGGGAAGCCGGGTCAGCCCCGACGGCAGCTTTCGGCTCCCAGGCAGAAGATCTTGGGGCAGAAGACAAACTCTCCGACCAAACTTAGTGTCGTGTTTTCATTTGGATTGCAGAGCAATAAAACCCTGTTAGGACAGATTTCGAGGAGCCTGGCTCTTGTCATCTAGAAACGACCTGTCACACAGTTCCCTTGCAGCAATGGTTCTGGCGCTTTTGTTTCGCTAAGCTCCGTGCAAGCCCTCTCTTGACTTGCATTTCCTCTTAAAAATGCCATCCTGTCTTTGAAATACGCAGGTCAGATACAGGCCTTGGAACACATCTTTGTCCACTTTTTGCAGGTATTTGGGAAACTCTCAGAAGTCGTATCTACTTGGTGGCTGGATGGAAAATATGCTAATCAACTTCCGTGGCGGCCTCACCACCCAGAGTCTGCAGTGGAGAAGCGGCCTGGATGTCTGACAGCTTGGGGGAACTTTCATGGGGCCTTACAGGAGTAAGGTCTTACAGGAGTAAGGACTAAGGACTCCTGACAGGTCTGGTTCGAGGTTGGGTCCCTGGAAAATACCGCAAAACAAAGACAGGACACGGAGGAATCAAGAGCCATCCAGATTGACTGCCCATACATCACACCTTAAAGTTACTATTTATTGACTGGATAACTCAAAATAATGTCAGAATCACCACAAATAGGTCTTTTTATGTTTGTCACATATTTCCCTCCTCCCCAAGATCATCCTAGTGGGGGAAAAAAAAAACAAACCAAAAAACAACACTAAAACCTAGGCCTAAATACATTTAGTACCCACCTAATGGTGCCGAGAAAACATGGTGCATAGTAAATATTTGATGATAATGAAGAAAAGATACTTTTGTCTAAATAGATTATGATCCTTTGCCACACCTACTTATTACAAGAGTCTTAAAGGGTCCATTAGTTTAGCCATCTGCATGGCTGCGAAAACCCTGTCAAACCAGGTCCCAAAGGGCTAGCAGGGCTTTCTGATTCTGTATGTATTTCACAGAGTGAAAAACCTGCTAATTTCTTCATTATGGAAAGAGTTTAGAAGTGACTTTCTTATAGCAGACGAGATGGCAAATGAAAAATATTCAGTATGAGTAATTTCTACAAAATTTCTACAAAATGTAGTAATTTCTACAAAATGAGGCTTAATTCTACAAAGTGGACTCTTGCAATGAAAAGAAACTGAAGTGAAAAAAAATGGTGTCCACATTAAATGCATTTATTTGGTGCACCATTCTCATTTAATTTCTCCCTTTTTCTATAGTCTGGTTGCTATGGCACTGGTAAGTTGATGGTCATACCCTTCAGATGGTGCAACAGGTTGAATAGTGTCCTCCAAAAATGCATATTCACCCAGGACCTCAGACTTTATTGGAAAACTGTTTTTGCAAATGTAATCATGCTAAATTGAGATCATACTGGATTAATTCAATGATTGCTGTCCTTACAAAAGGAGGGAAATTTGGACACGGACACTCAGGGAGAAAGTCATGTTCTTTTTGAGGGAGGGATTGGAGTCATTCTGCTCAGGCCATGGATGACAAGGATTGCTCGCCACCAAAAGAAACTAGGAGAAAAGAACAGAATAAATTCTTCTTCTAAACCCCCAAGAAAGAATTACCCTGCCAACATCTGGATTTCAGACTCCTGGGCTCTAGAACTGTGAGAAAATGCATTTCTGTTGTTTTAAGCTGCTTGTTCTGTGGTAATTTGTCATAACAGCCCCAGCAAAGTGATCCATAGTTACCTTCGAAAGATTAATTTTTAAAATTAGCCTAAAAATTGTTGGGATGAGAAATTACTAAAAGCTGAAATCCCCTCCTTTGCTTATCACTGACAAGATTATGTTTGGAAAATATGCATTTATTATGCTCCATTCAACACTTCTCCCTGAGGCCCTCTCTTCATTTTGATTTTTGTAGCACCTCTCTCCACTTTCCCCCCACTTCCCTGGCTTTCTTCCCCATCACCTTCTTGGGCTTCTTATTCTCTGCCTGTCCCTTAGATGTTGGTATGTCTCAGACTCCAACCCTGATAGCCTCTGCGTTCACACCATCTCTCTAATGATCACAGTATGCTCCTCCTTACACAAACCCATATACTGATGGCATCAGATCTTCCTTTCCATTGTGATTATTTCATGAAATTTCAGACTGTTTTATTTGTACATCAAAATCAAGGTGTCAAACTCTGCTTTTCTGTTTGATTCTTTTCTATTTAGTGAATGTTCGTCCAACCTGTAGTCTGGACACTATATCAAAAAGCCTGGGAATGATCCTTGATCCATCCTCCCTCATCTTCCATCTTCCACCAGAATGTCTCATATATGTAACTATTACAGAAGAGGCATGAGTGGTAAATCCCTACTTCAACTTCACAGAGGAAAAACTGTGCCATCACTATAAGGACATTATCATATAAAGATATGGATATAGAGATATGAAATAAGCCAGTAAATTAGGAAATCTATGATTCTATTTGTTCAACAACTTTACATATTAATATTGACATGCTGGGCAGTATTTGATACTGAAAATGATGTGTTTGAAGGAATTGGGAAGTTCCTGAAGAAAATGGCTTCATCAAGTAAGCAGTGGATGATAATTTCAAAAATGCTCATGGATAAAAATTCTCTGTTTTGTTGCCCTAAGATCACATTTGACATTTTAGGGTTTTTGGTTTTGTTTTTTTTTTTTTTTTTTTTGGCATAGAAAAACTGGGTGTAGGCCAAATATGCAGGGGGTGAGAAGATTGACCAGAGATAGAGACAGAGTGGGGAGCAGAGCAGGCAGATTTACTGAAACACACTGCTAAGGGAAGCAGTGGGTGAGAAAGGAGAGGTCTGCTGCACCATATGTGGGTCAGCACCCTGACAAGGGATCCAACTCAGGCCATAGAGGTGATAGCACTGAGACTTAACCCCTAGGCCACCAGGGAGGCCCCACATTTGACATTTTGATGATTGACTTTTAGGTCTCAAGAATGCTGTTGTGATTGTGATAATGGCATTATTTCTAAGAAAACTTGAATGGCAATTAGTGTTATTTTATAAATGAATTTCGTATTGTGAAAAGCAGGCCTCTTCCCCAAATTTTCCAATATAAAATTTATCATAAATCTTGACTAATAGACTATCTTTTTCAAATACTAACAAAATAACAAAATATTTCTAAAAAGGCATCCATAATAACAAAGCAAGATATCGAACGTCAGAGGCCACATGGAACACTCACATTTTAAAATTGCGAAGGATCCACTGTAATTATTAAATTATAAATTGCATTACTTTCAATATCTATTAAGTGAACTTAAGTGAGGAATAACATTATCTTTAATAGTTCTAAAGGAGTTCCTTGCTTGAATAAATATTACTTGCATATGGATGGATGGTTTGATTGATTTTGCATGTTCCACCCTGTCCTGGATATTGTAATTGGGCGCATAGCTTTTTCCAGAAATCATCAGAAACCAGACAATGGGGAGTATTTTTCCATTTTCTCCCCCATGGGCTTTAGGGAGAATGTTAAATATGTATTTGTTTAGTTGCATTTTTTTCCCTTGGTCTGGGTTATGGGAATTAATAAATTAGAGTGATTCCTTAATAGTTATCAGCAAAGGATGGAACATAGATACAAAGAGGAAGGAAGAACTTCAAGGAAAGTTAGATAGGAACTTTAGGGACTTTCGAAAATTTTGCTAAGCTTGATCCAAAATAAATCTAAAGTGTTATTTGTATTTAAACGGTATCTCATACAGACAGCATGTAGTCGGAACTTTATGAAAATTCCAACCTGACAATTTCTGCATTTTAATTAGATAGGGACTGTTTAGCACATTTGCATTTTACGCAATTATTGACGTGGTTGGGGTTAGTCAGCCATTGTACTCTAGATTTTCTGTTTGGTTTTTTTTTTGTGCTTCTATGTTTCCTTTTCTACCTCTTTTTATATCCTTTGAGTACTTTCTTGAGTTTCATTTTAACTTTTGTTGTTTTGTTGTTGCTTTCTCTTTACAGGATGATTTAGTGTTTGCTCTGTGGATTACAATATGTGACTTCAATCTTTCCTGTCTATTTGAGATAATACTGTACAATCTCACCTAACAGGTCCACTTAACCACACCCTCTGTCCTTTACATCATAGTTGTGAAAAGTAACACAACTGTGACAAGATAAAACTAGCAATATGATATATCCTTTAATGAAATCAAGAGGAAAATTTGTCTTTTCTAATGTACCCACAGGTTTACCTTTCCCCATATTTTTCAATCCTTCTCAAAGATTTAAGTTTGCATTTGATCTAATTTTCCTAAGCCTAAAGCATCTTTTACAGTGCTGGGTTATTGGAGATCCATTTTCTTAGTTTTCTTTTACTTTAAAATATTTTTATTTTGTGTGTTATTGAGGGATTTATTTC